AAACAACATCGGGAGGCGATGCCAGTATACTACATGCAAGTACCGTTGTATAAAAGCTCAAGGTTAAATAACCCATTCGCTAAATAGTTAGAAGCCACAAAAGGCAGTTACTCAGAGTACCATATTTTAGTAAGTGAGTACAAAAGCTCCAGACACGAAGTCTACTACTAATCATAACGGTTCTCTTCAAACACAGGGGATCAACACCAGCCGCAGGGTCTAAGCAAACATAGAATTTTTACCAGTTTTAAGAGCAGATCTATTGACCCGCGCGTACACCACCTGTAGCTCTCCCCGAAGCATGTTGACATTGAGCCAGAGTTTGACAAAGAAAGGTACCATAATTACGCTTCATTGGTTGTTATTGTCATTATAAGCCCCGGTATCAGAGGAGACATTAGCTATATCCTTCTAATAATAAACAAGAAAGGAAGCAAGGGACTTTGTTCATGACATCAAAGAGTAGTGGAAGGTGACATGACCAAAGCAAAGGTGACCTGCGTTCAACATACATTCCACTCACGGATGGCAACCAACTAGCTATACTAAACCGAAACCCGCGTGTAGCCGCCAGGAATAACAGCTATGTTTGGCGTGTATTTACATAGGGTCGATCTTTTTTGATCGCTTTCCGATATGCTTCTAGGGACAAAAGCAATACTCGCTGGCATGAAGGATGTACATCAAATAACGAAGTCTCCAAAAAACAGCCAATAGTCAAATGTCAAAATAATTGGCATAGTCTTCCCGTTAAGCCAACCCGCGCAATTGCTGAGACTGAATCTTTAAATGATAGCTGACGCTTACATAACTACGATCGAAGCCAAATGAGGGATGCGACACAAGTTCCTGCACGGACGATAAGATGATCCACGAAGGAGAGAAAATGCGCACCGAGATAAAAGTTAATGAGCTATTATTTCTTCACATTCCTTCAAGTTGCTTAATTATTCTAGGTAAAAGCACTTTATATTTATAAATAAATAAATAAATAAGAAAGTAAAAGGCAAGCAGTCAGATTAGCATTACAACTAAGGTGCTTTCCTGAAATGTATGGTGGAAAGTCAAATCAACATTTTTCTCTTCATAAATTAAAGTAATTTTTTTTTACACATATACATGTGCTAGTGCCCAAAGATGGCTTAAGTTTGACGCTCGGTTGGAAAGATTTTGCTTTTAAAAATAGTACACCTTGTAAGTCTCCAACGCAAATCTTATACAATAATCCTTGATGTCAAAAGTAGATTATATTGCTTTAGGCTTTGACTGACTTCAGGTTAGTTAGTGATATTTACTTAGCTCTTAAAACCAATGAAAGTTACTTATTCTAAAATAAATGCTAGTAACTATTGTTAAATTTAAAAGTCAATTTTAAAATATTTAAAGCCATAAGAGACTGTATAATTTTAGTTAAAGTTAAAGGGCGACTAGCATAGTATAGGAGTGTTAGAGTGAGTTCTTGACATTAGGACGATGAAGGAGGAAGAAGGGTGCTGGGACGGTAACTCTATAACTCAGATCAAGTTTTAATTAACCAAATAGAATAGTACCTAGTCAATAAGGATAAGGCCAATACAACAGCTGTTTCATAGATCAAGTGAGAACGAAAGCTGGAAATCTTATATGTCTAAAAGCAGACTGTTAGGAAAAGTGTTGCCTTAGTTTTAGTTTTATAGTTTACCTTGAATTTATCTCTCTCTCAGAACATCAACGTAAGGGGATAACAATAAGAACAACCAGTGAAGTTTGCAAAGATAATAAGCTGTTAAGTACTTAATCTATATTTAAGCCTAATAAAGATGAATAACTTATTAATCTTACTGACATCATCGATAGAGTTTTACAACGCAAGCCAAGGGTCAACATCAAGACCCTTGACCAATACTGTTATCAATGTTACTGCTCTACTAGGCTACAAGAACTTTTATAGACATTTATCTCACTAGATAATAAAGGTTTAAAATGTTCAAAAAGGTAAGGCAGGGCTCGTAGTGGGGTCATTCTTAATTAGTTTAAATGGTTTATTTTTAGAGCTTATCAGTTTTCTTATTAGATTGCCAAGGAGAGAGCAACTTGTGTCGTATTATGTTTAATAAAGCTGATAACGCTATGATTCTGCTCTTATTCTTGTTTAGTTATTTACAAAATGTAGCGCTTTAAATGATTATTTTTTAAATGCACAATTTTAGGAGTATCTGTTTTACTATTCTCGAATTTCGCTAATTTAATCAAGACTACTACTAGAGGCCCTAAAACGTTAGCCACAACCAGCTATCTAAGTGACAAGATATCGCCAACTTACAATGGAAAACAGAAAGTTAGTTAAGCTTGATCTAAACTTTTAGCTATATTAGCAGTTAAATTAACTTAAGTCTTAATACTTATTACCTGCCCTTATTTGTAGTAAGATTACTTAAATATTAATATTACCTAATTAAGTAAGGGCTTTTAACTCAACCTGAATTCAGAGGATGAAATAGATAACTAGGCAAGGAGGCCTCCAAATTGGTGGATACTATCTACTAATATTTTCACAAACGGTAGATCCTTTAAAGAATTGCACAGTAACTGAAGATAAATTTTAACCCCGATTTTAGTTGCTAGCTTAAGTAAAGGAAGGTTTTTATAGCCAAGGGTGGGTAAAATTTCGTCCCAAGAAGGGTAGACCTTACTCTTGGCAATGTCATTGTACCCTTTATCTTTAGTTAAGGAAGTAGACCCCACTTAGTTCAAACTAACCCTCCACAGTATTGAGCTAGTAAACTATACGCTATAACTTTATTAAACTCTTTTTTATAATTATATAGACATTTATCTTGAGGATGGAAAATTTTGACGCCTTTGTATAGCTAAGAGAGTGAATAACGTGTCTAAGATTTAAGGAATGTTTATGTGTATTAAACTTATTTACTGTTAAACAGAGCCCGAGATAAGCCATATATCTGATCTCTAACAGAAAGAACACCTAGGGCAGTTAGACTTATAAAAAGGATAAGGAATGTCCTTTCATTGCTAGGTTCAAATGAAATACAAAGCCAAACCAGGACGGTCCTTGGAAGCAGTTCAATAAAGTTAGTAAATTATTATAATAGAAAGCATAACTCGTGTGACAAGGTCCTCTTATACACCACTTGTCTTCCAGGAGATGACTCGCCTTTCATGATTCCAGTTCAGGCTTTGACATCAAAAGTACAGATAGGAGTACCATAATATACAGAAGTTAAGCTTAAAACAATAGGAAATAAATTGTTATTAGGTAAGTATTCCCTCCGGGAGGGAACACTGCAGCAGGCAAGGTCAGGCATTGCTCGTGCATAAAAGAAAGGGTCTCATTAGTGGAAAGCTTTAAGCACTCAGCATGAGTAGATTTTAGGGTATTAGATTCTTAAAGTAAGCCAGCTAGAGAGTTAGTAGATTTTTATCGTTATAAGAAAGCTGACCGCCTCTAAAAGTTGCCTCGTTAACTAAGAGCTTACCAAGTTTTGATAGAAGTTATACCAAGTAAGTTCAGATTTAACTTAAAAGAGTAATCTCGAGTGAAGTATTGGTGCACTAAGCCAAAATAACTGATTAAGTTTAACTCGCTTAATGAAGGGGATCTAAGAAGCTGAGGTAAGGTACTAAACCAATTCAAGCAAGGGCTATAAAAGGATCCTTATGTCCTGCTCATAAAAAGTAATCTTGGTTGAATGCTGAGTACTTTCTTACAACCAAAGTTTCAGCCTGAAAGAGAATTAACTCCTCCGTTAAACTAGTAGCAGGGTCTTGGAAGTAAATTCCTTTATAGGAGTTTCTGCAAAGAGCTGGTGAAAGCAGAGGTTAAGCACTAAAGTAGAACGAAAAAGTATAAAAAGTAAAAGTATTCTCTTTTATGTCTTCGTTTAAATATTTATAATAGTAAGGCAACTATTACTGATTATTAAGCTTCATACTAATTTTAGTTTTATAGATGATACGGAGTAACTAAATTTTTAGGTAATCTTTATTGACCACGATGAGTCAGTTTTATTTAGGTACGATAAATTGTTGGTTTAAAAATACAGGTGGGTACTGCAACACTTTTGATTAATTCTTTTAAATATTTAACTATTAAATTTTAATATACGCTATGAACTATAAAACTTCCTAATGAAGTTTCTTGTTATATATTAAAGGTACACCATTTTTCCACTTTTGGTACTCCTCTAGTTTACTATAGCTAAGCTAGAAAACGTCCATCCTAACATTAGTAATATGTAAATGCAACACCGCTAACGAGTAATCGCGATGAGTCTAAATAAAGGCAAACCATGCCGGCGAGTCGCCGAGTTATAATGCATCAAGAAAAATATATTGCAAAGCTGTTATCATTCTAACCCTGTTTAGGCTGAGTTTAGAATCAATAGTGGGACTTATGCCTTGGACGTACGATTACGATCTTGCTGTTATAGGCGGAGGATCAGGCGGTCTAGCGGCAGCGAAAGAAGCTGCACAGTTGGGTTTAAAGGTTTTTATATAATATCTAATAAAAAATTAGTTTTACACACAAGTTATTTTATAATAATAGAGTATAAAAAAAAGTTATCTTTTCCTTAGTTGTATTGTTAGTGTTTAACCTTAAAAAAAAGTTATAAAGATTTACATAATTTATATATGAACACTGTCCTTTCAGATAAAAATAGTTTGTCTTAATATTCTTTTTCTTTTTAGTAGTCAAACGGTTAATACACCCTTCCTTAGGTGGTTTTATTTGATTATGTAAAACCAACAGCAAAAGGGACAACGTGGGGCTTAGGAGGCACTTGCGTAAATGTTGGCTGCATTCCTAAGAAGATTATGCACTATGCCGGTCTTTTAGGAAAATCGATCAAAGATGCCAGATACTTAGGTTGGAATTTACCCGAATACACGCAATTTGATTGGAATCTTCTCGTTGAGAAAGTTCAAAATTATGTATGATTTTCTGCTATTTCAATTTTGATATAAGTTGCACTTATTTATTATATCTACAACAGATAAAGATGTTAAATTTTAGCTATAAAGTGAGTTTACGATCGGCAAAAGTTTGTTACATTAACGCTTTAGCCTATATTACAACTAACAACGAAATTGAATATTTTTTGAACGAAAAATCTTACAAAATACATTCTCGAGCTATAATAATTGCTGTGGGTTCAAGACCTTTTGTGCCTAGGGATGTACCCGGGGCATTTGAGTTGACGATAACTAGTGACGATATTTTCTCTTTAGAAAAAAGTCCAGGGAAAACGCTTATAGTCGGAGGTTCTTACATTGCTTTAGAGTGTGCCAGCTTTTTAAATGATCTAAATTTTGATGTAACTGTTTCTGTGCGCTCTGTAGTACTACGTGGTTTTGATAGACAATGCTCCAACAAAGTTATGAATAATTTGGAAGAATTAGGTGTTAAATTTAAGTTTAAAAATCTTCCTTCGAAGATTGAAAAGTGCGAGAGGGAAGATAAACTATTAGTAACTTACACAAACGGTGAACGTGATCTTTTTGATACTGTTCTTTACGCCGTTGGAAGGGTGGCTGAAACCAAAAACTTGGGATTAGAGAATGTTGGTATTATTGTTGGTCTCGACGGCAAAATACCCGTAAACGAAAGAGATGAAACCAGCGCTACTAACGTGTATGCAGTGGGCGATGTGGCGCAGGGAAGATTGGAGCTCACGCCCACTGCTATTCAAGCTGGTGAATATTTAGCGCGCCGGTTGGCAGCAGTTTCATCTAAAATAGTGAACTACAACAACGTACCGACTACAGTGTTTGCTTCTTATGAATACAGTTCGGTGGGGTATTCTCAAGAGAAAGCTAAAGAATATTTTGGGAAAGAAAATATTGAAGTTTACTTGCGCGAGTTTAGTTCTTTAGAGCTGAGCGCGGCTCACCGCTTGAAGAATGAAAGACTGTGGGCCGATGAATTCGACAAAGAAGCGTCGCCGCAATGTTTATCAAAGCTTATTTGTCTGAAAAGTGAAGATGAAAAAGTAGTAGGCTTCCACTTTATTGGTCCCAACGCCGGTGAAATATGCCAAGGCTTTGCTTTGGCCATAAAGTTAGGTGCAAAAAAATCAGACTTCGATGAACTTATAGGGATACATCCTACTGACGCCGAATCATTTTGCACCTTGTCCGTCACGTTGGCTTCAGGGCAGGATTTCCGTGTTTCTGCTGGTTGTGGCGGAGGAAAATGTGGTTAATTCTTTGTGGACTATACACCGCTTTAATTTACGTTAATGTTAGGCCCTCCCCGGTTGGTATATCTTTAATAATTGTGTATAATAAACTATATAGGCGCTTTGTAAAAAGATTGCTGTAGCGCTCACTTTTATAAGCACGCCTTGTTTGTAAAACCTTTTGTTTAATAGGATAGCAAATATTTTAATTTAGTAGATCTGTAGATAAAAAAAACTTACCCTTTACATAGTGCAAACTGATAATAAATTTGTTAGTTATCAGGGAAGCTAGTTAACAGTGCCCATCGCTTAAAGATCATACACGGATTAAATATGTGAAGATAAAAA